ATCTTTACTGTGCTGCTTTATCTGTATCTGATTTAGAATGAGCAGAAATCTGTGAGAAATATAACGACCCAAAGACAAGAACTGATAAAAAAAGCTGTTATAGGAGCAACAGCCATGTGGGCAGCTCTGTGTCATATGCCATAGCTGTGCACAAGGTGTTTGTCACAGCTCCAGACTTATTTGTTCATTAATGACGTCATCAGCGACTAGTCGACTTCGACTCGACTTTCATCACATAAAAGTCGACTTCAAAAAATCAGAAGTCGTTCAACCCCTAGTTTACACTCAAAATTTCTTGTTTGTAAATTACAGTTTTATACTGTAAAATTTACAGTTTGTTCTGTAAATGTTTTTTTTACAAAAACAAACCACAGCTGCCAAAATTATTTTGTAAAAACTACAGATTTTTTTTTACAGTAAAAGGTACTTGAAATGTAATTTTAGTCTTATCTGTGGTGGAGCCTCGTGTAAAGACTTTCCAGAATATCTCCAAAAAAAAGAAAAGTTATATTTTTGCTGATAATGTATAAAACATGTTTTAGTTGTATATTTGCTTATTTATTTTTATGATGATGGCTAGTAAACCACATTGAAGCTATGCTTTTTTCCACTTCCTGTGTTACCAAGGTGCGAAAACAACTTCTCTCGTTCAATGCGTTCTTAAAAGCAAAACATTTTGCCCTAAGAACACTTCAGAGTAACTTCTATGTACATCTGTCTTTAAAGCATGGCAGTCAGAGCCACAGAAATGTACATTTACAAAGAGTCTGGTTCCGTCTAAATTAGTAAACATGAATGTCTCTGAGGTCATCTTTGATGAACACGCTGTGCTTAAATATAAGTAATGTTGGCTTCGTACAACATGAAGATATTTTGGATGAAACTAGCATATCCCTTTTTTGTCATCATCATTTGCTATCATAAATGTTTACAGTTGAGGTGGTTTCTTTGTATAAAACAGTTACAGTTATATCGTTGCAGTGGTTTATCCAGTGTTGTGATCAATTTTAATAAATTAATGTCAGATGACAGAAATCTGCTTATTTTGCATAGTTGATATAGATGATTTCAAAGCACTTTTTTTTGTTGTGTAATCTAAGATGTTTAAAACTGACTTCTTTATCACACTAATAAATGTAAGGTGTCTATTATCATGTGTACTAATTGTTGCCGCATTAGCTTTTTTTTTTTAAATATTTTTTATATTAAAGAGGAGTTTGTATTAATACCCTAGGTTTATGTTTCAACAATTATGGTTAATACAGATTAGATCTGATCAGTTGCCTTGCAGGTGTCATAATTTCATTTTGATTCATGTTTCCTTCTTTTTCTCCCCGACTTCATGTGTACTATGTGACAAATACTGTAACTAAATACACTAAATACAATATAGATTCCAATATGCCTGTCAAATAAAGAGCAGCAGTGAAGATTGTAAACATTTTTTAGATAAACTAATGCAAAATAGTGTTTCTGTTGTCTAGCTGCCACAAACCTAATAATCTTATATAACCCTAATAAACCTGTTTGATGAAAAATGTTTAGAGTCTCAAGCATGAATTAGCTGTTAAGAATTTGTTCTATAAACTGTGTTTAGATTTTGTAAACTAACACTGCTGATGCATAAAACAGGTGCATTTTCCACTCACAGTGTTTCTCAGTTTGACAGATTATCAAAGGGAAAGTTAACAGTGAATAATTTTTCAGTTTGCTACAGTATCACAAAACTTCAAAAGACTTAAGAACTATTTTTATGTTTTTTTTGTGTCATATTTGGATCTTATTTTGCATCATTGCATGGGAAAAAATTTCTTGTTCCACAGAAGAATGACATATGTGTTTGGAACAACAGCTGAGAATGTTCTTCAATGTCCTTCAAGCAGTTAAAGGGGTCTTATGATGCTATTTTAAAGATCATTATTTTGTGTATTTGGTGTAACAGAATATGTTGACATGCTTTAATGTTCAAAAAACACATTATTTTTCAAATACTGTACATTATTGTAGGTCCTCTATGCCCCGCCTCTCTCAAACAACAAAGCCCCCTCCTTTGACAAGCGCAGTCCGCTCTGATTGGCCAGCTGACCCAGTGCACTGTGATTGGCCGAACACCGCAAGCACGCGTCGGAAATGTAACGCCCCTTACCATAATCGCAAGCTTCAGCTTTCAAAGTAAATATCAAGACAGTTAATAATGTCGTTAGTTTTACCATCAGTTCAAGCCCGAAAGGACAACAGAGTCGCATCATGCGTTTTAAATCATATGAGTTTAAACTTCTGATATATGGTTTTCTGAGTGCACACATCCGAAGCACACGGACAGAAAGCGGCTGTCACAGCATGTGAGTACTAAACTAAGTTCTCATGCACACACAAGTTTACGTTAAAAACACACGAGTTACAAAAAACATGATTATGTCGGTTATGTCTGTGAAGGTAAACAGCTGGGAAATGAATCATGTAAACTTACAGATTAAGGGGCGGTAATATTATAATGAGATCCCTTTGCCACGTCACCAAGGGAGCGAAATCAGACGCGCTCGTTTTCTCAGACGCTTGCAGAAAAAGGCTTACCAAAACAAAGTTACTGGGTTAATCTTTTTCACGTTTCCTTGGTTGGTAGATGCACTGGGGGACCTGATTATAGCACTTAAAACCTGGAAAAGTCAGATTTTCATGATATGTCACCTTTAAAAAAAAGGGTTTGCCCATGCTGTCAATGTTTCATAACAGAAATGACGAAAGAAGATGTGGCATAGCTTATTGGTTTATTTACATGTTTGCTTCACCCAACTAAACAAGGTTTTTAACTTCAACACACAGATAAACATGAAGAGCTTTTGAGATTGTATACATTAGTCCAGGGCATGAATCTGGCCTAAGGCTTCACTCATATGATAAGAAAATACTCAAACAATGCATGTGTTATGTTGAAAAGCATGCAGAGAGAGAAAGAAGAAAAGAGGAAGTAGCACAGGAAGCGTGTTGTGGAAGCACTGAAGTGATACTGGATATCGAGATGCGTAGTAAACATACACATGTGATAAATGTGATGATGAGCTGCGATTTTTCATCAGACGATTTAACTGGCACTAGGATCAGTTAGGATATCCATGAGTAGTGATGCACCGAAAGAAAAGTGAATATTGTGCTCAACACCACACAAATCAGGCCAAAAAACAGTTTTGTGTTTTAGCAACAGAAGACTCTTTACCATTCCAAATGTGTTGAGCAAAATAGCCTCAAGACGTCTGCACAAGCAAACTTTCTTTATAATAATGTGCTTAACCAATAGTGGAAACAAGACTAAAATACTAAGTAAAAAAATTACTTTTTTGCAGTGTACATTAACTGAACCTGAGTTCAGAGATTGGATGTAAGAGTGATGCTTTCTGATAATATTTTCAGCCTGTTTTCGCACCATTTTATGGTATTTTTGGCCACAGTGTCGGTGCATCTCTATCCAAGAATAGGTCTAAAAACACACAAATATATAAGAGAGCAAAGAGCAGTTTGATGGAGCACAAACAGCCAGTTACACGCAGGCACGAGCATGCAGGCATTGTGCAGCTTAATGCCCATGTAATCTTCACATTTGAAGACTTCAGATGCTACAGTTACATTTTTAAATGCATCATTTTGAAAATGCTCATTATTGCAAATATGCAGACACAAACTGTTCAGACACCTTCAAGGGGACATTTGTAATGAATTACTAGGTACAGAGAGAGAAGTACAAAAAGAGAGAAATGGGGTGTAAAGACATGAAGAATTAGAGGTAAAGAGTGTGATTTTCAAAGGGGTGTGGCTACTGAGACCAAAGGGTGTGATCTCATCAGAAATAGGCGGGCCAAAGAGACAAACAGCCTATGGAGTCTCACAAATCATTGTCTCCACCACGAAAGTGTTCTCAAAGTGACGGATCCTGTGACAGTTCTGCGCATCACGCTTGGTGATACCTAACAGGAAAAATACAAAAATAAAGTGAACAAAAAAAAAAAGTTATAAATTACTAGGGTTATTATAGTTAAAACTAAAATTTAAATCATTAAAAAAAACTGTTATCTGAAATAAAATAAAATACAAATAACTTTTTATTTCAGCCAGCTGCCAATGCAGCATTTCTGCAATAACTAAAATAATAAAAAATAATCTCTCTCTCTATATATATATATATATATATATATATATATATATGTGTGTGTGTGTATATATAAACAAAAACTACTAACAATGACAAAAACACACAACAAAATAACAAAATCTTTAACTAAAATTAAAAGGAAAACATAAAAATAAAAACTGATTCAAAATATTAATAAAAAGCAATATTATCTCTAGTTATGATACTAAAATAAGACCGTAAATCACTTGCATTAGAAAATAATTAATATTTTTATATACACCATTACACACACACACACAAAATGTACAATTTTCACTAAGAAATTGCTAGTAAATTTCACAAATAATTAGAGAACCATTAAGTAACAGACTGAATTAAAATTTGAAGAATTTGAAGAAAAAAAGAAAATAGTATTTTAAATAGTTTTTTTTTTTTTTTACTAATTTGAAAAATAATTTTTCAGTGAATTAATTTAGCGCATGGATTACTATATAATGTACAAGTACAAGAACCGTAAAATACATAATGTAATCACAAAATATGGGATATAGAAATGAATAAAACAATATAAAATAGGAACTAACAATCGAATATTCATGGATCATAATTTGATGGCCTGCCTCCATGAAACTGTCCCAGTTACCTAACAGGAAAAATCCAAAAATAAAGTGAACAAAAAAAAAAATTATAAATTACTAGGGTTATTATAGTTAAAACTAAAATTAAAATCATTAAAAAAAACTGTTATCTGAAATAAAATAAAATACAAAGAACTTTTTATTTCAGCCAGCTGCCAATGCAGCATTTCTGCAATAACTAAAATAATAAAAAATAATCTCTCTCTCTATATATATATATATATATATATATATATATATATGTGTGTGTGTGTATATATAAACAAAAACTACTAACAATGACAAAAACACACAACAAAATAACAAAATCTTTAACTAAAATTAAAAGGAAAACATAAAAATAAAAACTGATTCAAAATATTAATAAAAAGCAATATTATCTCTAGTTATGATACTAAAATAAGACCGTAAATCACTTGCATTAGAAAATAATTAATATTTTTATATACACCATTACACACACACACACAAAATGTACAATTTTCACTAAGAAATTGCTAGTAAATTTCACAAATAATTAGAGAACCATTAAGTAACAGACTGAATTAAAATTTGAAGAATTTGAAGAAAAAAAGAAAATAGTATTTTAAATAGTTTTTTTTTTTTTTTACTAATTTGAAAAATAATTTTTCAGTGAATTAATTTAGCGCATGGATTACTATATAATGTACAAGTACAAGAACCGTAAAATACATAATGTAATCACAAAATATGGGATATAGAAATGAATAAAACAATATAAAATAGGAACTAACAATCGAATATTCATGGATCATAATTTGATGGCCTGCCTCCATGAAACTGTCCCAGTTTCCCCAAAGTTTGTGGTTGCCATGGATATTATCATATTATATTCTCACAAAAAGATCTTCGGGAACCAGGGAGAAGTAGATTGCTTAATACAGGAAGCCATACCGTGGGTGTTACTCAATTGTACCGCTAATTAGCTGCAATGAGCTATTTAGCTGGACGCCAATCAGATTTGTATGGCAGCAGTGAAGCCACACAGGAGTACAGTTTCCTCCCACCATGAAGATGCAGAATTAGTTATGGCGTAATATGGTATTGCCAAATTGGCCTTGTGGCTCAGTATTGGGCAACTTCTTTTTGAGATGAAAAGTTCATACGTCAGTTTATATTTTTTATTTATTTTTCATATTTGGGTGAACTATCCCATTAAATATGATGTAATGTTTATCTAATTTCAGTCGTGTGATATGATGCTCTCTACTGAAAACAGCTATTAACTGATCCGTATTAGTTGACCACTACTATTCACACTAAAGAAAAAAGGCAAAAATGTGTGAACTTACGACGGCGTGAGGTGCGGCGATGGAGCCTGTACGTATCTTTACCGTTACACAGACGGTAAATAAAGCGGCCAAGCTGATGCATGTTATTAACACGGCCAGTCACGACCATCTCTTCCTGAACAATGTACGTCTGGGGGAGGTAAGTCCCTTTCTGCAAAAAGATAGAAAGGCAACATCATCAAATAGATATAGTTTACATTTCAACTGCCTTTATATACAAACAATACAAGTACCTTGACATTGATGAGCAGTTCCCAGAGGTTACGTGGTGGCATGACCACAGAGGTGTTGAGCTCGATGACATAACACTTGTCTAAAGCAATGTCATGGTAGGCCGTCAGACCCTAAAATCCAAACACAACACATGAAAACAAATTCTGTTGGTGTATTAGTATTAGTATATATAACGAGAGCTAAGAGTGTTACCCTGTTGAAATCATGAATGATATCAGCAGGGTCTGTGTTGCTGAAGTCGGGCACAGGTATGCTGATTTGCTCGTAGTTTTCCTTCAGGTAGATCCCAACGCTCTCCTCCAGCTCCTGAGACCCTCGCAGTGGAGCAGCCACCGAGTCCTCGTACACGACACGGCAGTGGAACCGACTCTGATCCGGAGCCTGAAACACCATCACATAAAATACATGATTTTAAATGATATGACATGGTAGTTTTGATGATTACCATAACCTAAACCAAAAGCCCTGACAAAAGAACATAAGATAACAGCAATATTTCTTTCAAACTGAACTAAAAATAGGGATAAAAAACACTGATTTTCATAGTATCGCATTTGAAACTCAATCTTTTACTACACACTGCTTTTAGCAGGTGCGCGTTGACACGGGATCTACAGTCTTAACGGTAAAGCATGATATTTTACATTTGCAGTCTGAATAAAATGTGATAAGATAAAGACTAAAAGGTAGAAAAAGCATCGTTATTTTCTGTTGAGTTGTCCTCGCAGGCTGGTTCACAACTGCAGTTCTATTTAGTGAATCCAAACACTGAATTAAAAACACAGCAAAATGACTGTAGTCTGATTTGTGAACAAATGACGCTATTTTTTATATAGCCAATCCTCATGAATCATCATGAAACTGGTGAACTCAGTTGCTGTTTGAATCATTCTGACACATCATTCACTGACTGAATTCAATGAGCGGTTACTGAATCAACATGATATCTGCCACGTATCTGTGTTTGCTCATTTCCAGAAAGCTGACAAATCTTTCAGTGACTCTTTCTAAAGGTTATACCGCAACACCAGTAGGTGAGTTATTGAGCCATTTATTCAAATGATTAGTTCAAAAACACTAATTCATTCAGGAATCGCAAATGTCTTTATTAGTGAGTCATTGAATCATTCACTCAAACAATTCAAAAACGAATCACATAGCGGACGAATCACAGCAGCGAGCCATTAACAAAACATTTTACTACAAAAATAGAAAAGTAGAACTAACTGAAGCTTCAGCTTAGCTAATTATACGTGACCCTGGACCACAAAACCAGTCATAAGGGTCAATTTTTATACATTGTGCCACTTTTAGTATGATCACCCACACACTGGGAGACGTGCTACAATCGGCACTACATTCACTTGTATCCCATGCAGCCAAGAATGGATTATTCAGTGCTCTCGTACTACAGTAGGAAATTATTAGATGCGAGATGCTGATAGGCGATGACTAATAACGCCCCCAGTCTTGCAACCCATCTGCGTTTTATGATGTGATGTGATTGGTGCAGGTGCTGCAGCATCCATGTCCCCTTGTTATGAAACCAAAGGGCAACAATATTTCTGTACAAAACAGCTACAAATACATAAACACGCGTTGATGGAGCATTATCAATAGATCATATCACCCAATCAAATGACGTGATTAATGGTTTACCATGTGTTCTTCCCTTTCCGGCTTTTGGTTCGTTTCAACCGCTGTTTTCCGTGACATTTCAGCTGAGGCACACAAAAAGCGAAACTTACGTGTGGATGCGGTATGAATATTTGAGTTTTATCTCCATCACCCTCCTCTTTCTCGGCTTTTTGTCCCGTGATGGGCTGAAAGCTGATCTTCACCATGATGAAGGGGAAAAACGCTGTTTTTTTAAGCCTGGACGCAGATCCTTTATACCCCTTGGCTTTCTGACACAATGTTTGCCGTTTGTTATAATGGACCGGAAGAATCTATTATTTATTTGTATATTTGTATATAAAAATCGCTCTTAAAGTCACAGTGCCAGCGACACTGGTGATGATGCGCGCGACCCAGAATGAGCATGCGCGCGCACGTTTTGTGTGCATCATATGTGTGTGTGTGTGAGTGAGTGAGTGAGTGAGTGAGTGAGTGGTGAGTGAGTGAGTGTGTGTGTGTGTGTGTGTGAGTGAGTGTGTGTGTGTGTGTGTGTACGAATATTGCTTTTTAAGATATATAATTTTATTTATCTATCTGATGGTACTTACATATTGAAAAATGGCTAATGCGTTAATTACGACGCAAGCGACCAAGAATGAGAAAGCCTGCGTTCAAAAACCACAAGCAGGCTATATCTATCTGTCTATCTATCTGTCTATCTATCTACATCAGTGTATTAGGCTTAGATCTCTGCCACAATTCTGCGCGCGAAAGATCATATTTTGAGCGCACAAAAGTGCATTTTGCACACGCGCAATCTGAGTTTTGTGGAGAAAATTTTCGTTTCGCAAAGAAAAAAAAAAAGTATTTAGAGCGCACGAAAATCAATTTTGCATTTAAAATAAGTTTTTGGATGTGTGCAGACCAAGCGGCAACCTCCCGCTCTCTCTCGTGAAGCCAACAAGGAAGTGACTTAAAGGGATAGTTCACCCAAAAATGAAAATTTGATGTTTATCTGCTTACCCCCAGGGCATCAAAGATGTAGGTGACTTTGTTTCTTCAGTAGAACACATATGATGATTTTTAACTCCAACCGTTGCAGTCTATCAGTCGTATAATGCATGGCAATGGTAACAAAATCTATGAGCGTAAAAAAAAAGATGCACAGACAAATCCAAATGAAACCCTGCGGCTCGTGACGACACATTGATGTCCTAAGACACGAAACGATCGGTTTGTGCGAGAAACCAAACAGTATTTATATTATGTTTTACCTCTAATACACCACTATGTCCAACTGTCTGTGGGCGCGCGCACGCCATCCAGTGCGTGAGGTGTGTACGCGCTCTGGCGTAGTTTACGGAAGCGCCGGAAGTGATCTCTCGCGCGTATACGTCACTCATTGTTTACACAGTGCACAAACACTGTAGGTACGACGGCTAATCAAAATGGTACTTACTTGCGCTTATCCGGATTGTTCAAACCGACTTAAAACTAAAAGATTACGTTCTCTCGCGCGAACTCATTCGGGAGTGGTGACTTTCCACGTATTCCCAACTTCTGAGCCTGCTCGCCTGAAGTTATGGTTGATTGCTCTTCGGCTGGATATCAACACACCCATTAACGTAAACTACGCCAGAGCGCGTACACACCTCACGCACCGGACGCCTGCGCGCGCACAAAGACAGTTGGACATAGTGGTGTATTAGAGGTAAAAAAATTATATAAATACTGTTCGGTTTCTCGCACAAACCGATCGTTTCGTGTCTTAGGACATCAATGTGTCGTCACGAGCCGCAGGGTTTAATTTGGATTTGTCTGTGCATGTTTTTTTTACTCTCATAGATTTTGTTACCATTGCCATGCATTATAAGACTGATGGACTCCAACGGTT